GAGAGAGAGAGAGAGAGAGAGACTGACACGGGGCACTTCGCCTAATAAAGAAAACCAATGAAATAGGGAGGAGGAGGAGGAGAAAGGAGGAGGAGGAGGAGGTGGATGAGGAGGAGAGAAGAAGACGAAGGGAGGAGGAGGAGGAGGAGGAGAAGGACCTGCCGGTTTCGTATGGTGTTGACGAAAAAGAAAAAAGAAAAAAATGACGGAGGAGGAGGAGGGGAGAGAGAGAGAGAGAAATCCCGACACGTGGCACTTCGCCTACTAAAGAAAACCAATGAAGCAGGGATGAGGAGGAGGAGAAAGGAGGAGGAGAGAAAAAGACGAAGGGAGGACGAGGAGGAGGAGGAGAGAAGAAAAAGGAAGGAGGAGGAGAGAAGAAAAAGAAGAGGAGGAGGAGGAGGACGAGAGAAGAAGACGAGAGGAGGAGGAGGGGAAGGGGGAGAAGAAGAATAGGAGGAAAGGAGAAGGAGAGGAAGAAGAAGATGAAAGGAGGTGGAGGCGGAGGAGAGGAAGAAGAAGAAGAAGAAGAGGAATCATGGAGGTGGAGGCGGATACCACAGTGGGACCGTATCGACTACGACGGGGCAGCTTTCCGACGAAGGGCAGCGACGGCGGGCAGCGACGACGGGCACCTCTTCGACGGCGGGCAGCGACGGCGGGCAACGTGAACGAAAAAATAAAACGGGCAGCTCTTCGACGAACTGCGCGTTCGAATTCGAAGGCCGCCCGTCAAAAAAAATTGCTTTGGGGGGCAGGAAGGCTCCCACGAGCCAAACCAACTCGAAAATGGCCTCCCCCCCCCCGCGCGCAAAAATGCGCTGGGCCCGCCCGGCGCCAAACCGGGGGACCCAACCGGCCGGGCCGCCCGGGATCCTTGCCGGACGAAGGCTGGGCTGCCGGGCGGCCTGGAGTTTAACACAGGAAAATAAATTATTACAGAGTTAAAAATTAGAAGGGCCTTTACGATTCAGACCCGTAAATCTGACCCCAACATAAACAGGCCCACTCGGCCTGAATTCAATTTCACGAGCAACATTCCAAATGACAAGTTCTTGAGGCAAATGTCGCACCCATAATGAAATGAAAAGTCAGACAGGTCCTGGACGAACAGGTACTGGGTACAGAATTCAAGACTGAGTTAGGGTCATGTCTGTTCGATGATAAGTCATGTCTGCTCGGCAATAAGTCAAAGGCCACAGTCCCAGTCCAGTCACAGTCCCACGGGTCAGTCCTGATTCAGACCAGGAGTCCAAAAGACAGGCCTGATGGCCCAAGCAGCAGCAGACCATGGGAAAAGATACTGGGACACACACTTTGCAACAACTGGTACTGGGCAGGAGTCCCAGACACTTGGAGGCCGAGTTCAGACCTCGCCAGTCCAGTCCAGCGCTATAAAGAACTGGCCAGCCTCCTCATTTGGCAGATGCTCATTTCGCATGGAAGTGTGGAAGTGCTGTGGCACTTGTGCGCTAGATGTGTGTGAGCTGCGCTAGGCTGTGAGCAGCGCTAAGTGTGAGAGAGAGAGAAGAAGGGCGCTGGCTGGAAGGAAGGCAGCCATAGCTGCGCCTGCGCCAGTTAGTATATCGGTAGGGATAGTCAGTAGGAGACACCAGTGAGTAGTATTCAGAGTAGATCCTCGTGTGATAGGGAGTGTGCATGCATGATGAGTGAGGGTAGATCAGGACTATAGACAGAAAGAGAGAAGAGAGAGATCAAGAGAGAGAGAGAGAGGTGTGAGGATTGAGCCCTCAAAGGGGCCTTGCCGTGATGTGCATGTTCTGGGCCAAGGCCCCCAGCAAGCCTAGTGCCCGCCCTAAGTGAAGGCGGGCCAGCAAATCAATGAGAGGCCTTTTTGCGACATTTCACGAAGTGGGGTCCAGACAGTTGCCGCACGCCAGTTGGTTGGAGTGCACCGAGTACCAGATCCCTGCAAATGCAGTAGGACCAGGGCCTCAGAATTGGTTAGGCCCTGGGCGCATAAACGTGAGGCCGACATTGCATGCTGGATATAGAGGCCGAAAATGCCAGTGGGAAACGGGCCCACTATCTGAATCTGGACAAAGGCCTTGATGAAAGAGGCACAACTGTACGGCCTGGGCCCTTATCTGCATGGGGTCTGGGCACAGCTACCGGGACCCAGGCACAGGCTGAAACGAGGCCGCCCTCGCACTGCTTGGCATATAGGCAGAGCATGCGGCTGGGCAGGGGATCTTGGCCATTGCGAGCAAGGCCGGCACGCTGCACATTTGCGAGGTGCTGCGCTGCGCTAGGCTGAGGGAAGGCAGGCTAGCGCTAAGTGGTAGGGCGCAGTCTGGGCGCAGGGCGCTGGCAGCCATAGCCAGGCTGCATGAGGGCGCTGTAGGAGGTGAGGGCGAAGGTGGTTCTTCGGGAAGTGAAGGGCGCTGTGTGGGATAACAAGGGAGAGTGAGGGAGAAGAGAGAGACGTACCTGGTGGAGAGGAGGTCGGCATTGGTGTTGACGTCATCACTCGCTGGTCGTCAAGTTGTCTGGTTGCTTCCATGCTGTAGTTGTAGTGTTAGGCTGTAGAGTAGATAGGGCGCCTGGCGCCATTCAAGAGAGAGCTACATTGGGTTATGCTGTTGGTGTTGCCCGGTTGGGCTTGTACATTGACTCACGATTCTGCTGTATCGTTCTCAAATGGATGGTTACTTGGTTCCATTGTGCTATCTGCTCTTGCTTTGACTACTTGGACTTCAGTG